AGAGAGAGAGAGAGAGAGAGCTGACACGTGGCACTTCGCGCAACGGTACCGTATCGACGACGACGGGCAGCGAGGACGAGCTGGGAAACGGGCAGGCGGCAGTAGACGACGGGCACCTCGGCGATGGCGGGCAGCAACGGGCGTCGACAGCGGGAGCACTACCTCGGCGAAGGCGGGCAGCGACGAGCGTCGACGGCGGGAGCAATACCTCGGCGCGGGCAGTCGGCATCACTTCGACCACTTCACTGGGCAGCGACGGGAGTGGCTCGATGCTTTGAATTTGAAGCGGGCGCGCAACGGAAAAAAATTGCGCGGGGGGGCAGGGAGGCTCCCAAGGCCCAGAAAAGTCGAAACAGGCCTCCCCCCCCCCCCGCGCAAAAATGCGCTGGGCCCGCCCGGCATCGAACCGGGGGACCCAACCAGCCGGGCCGCCCGGGACCCCTGCCGAACGGAGGCTGGGCCGCCGGGTGGCCCGGAATTTAACACAGCTGTTTTTGGACTTCGCTATCGCGATCTTGGTCTTCTCCCTCGCCTCCATCTTTGTCTCGCCTCTCCCCCCATCTCTCATCCGTGGTATCTCACCCATGTGCATGTACAAGGAGGGACCTTTCTTCTATGTGTGCAGTCCCTCCTCCTCCTCTCACATGTGTGGTGTGTGATGGATGTTGCGTCAGTCCCGGTCAGGTCAGGACTTATCTTTGAGTCTTCCACTGTGCTACTTGTGCCATTTTGTATGTATCAGGATGTACATTGCTTGTTGATGTTTCACTGACATTGTATTGCCCATTCAGTCCTTTTCATCACACTGCGGATCCTTGGCTCCATATACATTGCCCGACCAGGCATGTATGACACATCGTCTCCGTGACTGCACTAAGACTGCACTAAGATTGGAGAAGAAAGTGGGAGCAGCCACAAAGACAGCAGTGCCATTTCTTCCATACTATGAAAACTCGTAATCGTCATAAGAGCCTCATCTGGGCCATTCGCCATTCGTGCAGGTGAACAGCCCATTTCGCTGTCCGATCACCGAAATTCAGCTTGTCAGGCGATCTGGGACATTGTGTGCATGGATGGCCTAGATCGTGGGCCAATCTGAAACTTTGGTGATCACCTGCACATCAGCGCTGTAGGCCGTTGCGTGGCCCAGATCACCACCCGAAGTTTTGAAACCGGTGTGCAGCTACCACCTCCGGAAGGCTTACCAGCCCTTTGGGTAATCAGGCGACTACCTCCCAGGTAAGGCCTGTGGTTTTTCTTCTCACACTGTCCGAAAAAGTTGAAGGGTAAGTAAGCCTTCAGGGTACAGGGGAGGCCCTACGGGAGCTCAATTTATTTTTGTCGTCACAACTCAACAGCGTTGCTGCCAGCTCAATTGCAATCAGGAGGGCCAGTCAGCCCTCGGGGTTGTAACGTCATGGCTGCCCACTGGCCGAACACATTTACAGTCGTCCTGGCCGTTCAGTGGGCCCCAACTAATCCGTGTGTGTGTGTGTGTGTGTGTGTGTGTGTGCGTGTGCAGGCACGAGAGAGAGAGAGAGAGAGAGAGAGAGAGAGAGAGGCCTTTTCTCTCAACCTTCCTTAAACTTTTGTGACGTTTTGTCCTGTTTTCGTTATATATACATTGCTGTCCGTTGCTATCATGTGATGTTCTTTCCCATTGAAAAAGTGCTTTGTCATTACATCCTAATGAAGGCAAAAAAGTTTGAATATGGTCGTCAAGCACCCGCTACTGGATGAATCGGTACCCAACCTGCTTCGGGCTTCTACTACTCGACAATGGAGAAAGAGCAGAAAGTGAACAGGAGAGAGGAGTGGCTGAGTCGAGTAGAAAGGTGAGGTTGGAGAGAGAGAGAGAGAGAGAGAGAGAGAGAGAGAGAGAGAGAGAGGGCATACATTTATGCTGCTTCTTCAGCCACCAAAGGTGAAGGTTTGCCTTACAGCAATAGGAGTAAGGACCAGGCGTGGGAAATAGGGTGGGGGAGAGGAGGGTACGGGGTTAGTGAAATGTGTCAAAACCACATGAGAGGGGGAGCGGAGATTGGGGCTGCTATAACAGAGTGACAATAAGGGCGAGTGGGGGGGAGATGAGGGCGACAGGTGGAACAGCACTGGATGAAACATAGTGGGGGGTAGAGGTAGGGAAATCGGGCAAATGGGGGAGAGCAGCAGGGGTGCAGTATGAAATGTAACGGGAGTGATGGAGTGGGAGGCAGTGGGAGATGCCACAAATCATAAGGGGACTTAGGGGAGAGAATTCCTGCAAGGCATGTCATAACCCTGTCGTATGGCCGCAGACAGGCTAATGTTGGACATGGTGAGGAAGGTGCAAATATGAGAAGGGGGGCAAGAGGGGGGGGCGGGGAGGGAAAATCCAAAGGGGATAGGAAGAGTTAGTGAGAAAAGAAGAGTAAGGGAGGGAAAATCCAAAGGGGATAGGAAGAGTTAGTGAGAAAAGAAGAGTAAGGGAGGAAATGTTGAAAGATTTGCAATAGGAGGCAGATGGAGGAGATGACAACAAGTTCCGATGGGAAGGGTGGGGGAGCTCGCAGAGGGGGGAAAGAGTTGTGATAGAGGGTTAGGAAGGTGAGGAGAAAGGGGGGAAATACTTGCTGCCGGAGGGGAGTAATCACAATAAGACTGGAGAGAGGGGAGGTAGTTGCAACAAGAAAGTTTACGACTGAAGGCAGAGGGAAGGTAGTTGGGATAGGAGGGGAAAAGGGTAGCAGAGCAAGGGGTGAGGTCGTTGCAATCGGTGTTGGAGGGGGTGGCAGAAAAGCGGGAAGAAGAGCGATGAGAGGCAGGAAGGTAGTTGCAGGGAAGATGTGTGAGTTCCTCCCCCACCTGAGCTTTTTAACCCCCCCCTTCCCCCGCCCCTTCACCCAGCCACTTCATTTATGTTTCTTCGAGAGTGCTAACAACTCCTTTGTTGATTGTCAATCTTTGATTGCAGATGGTTATTGTGGAAGATGACTGTGCTCTACCCCCACCTAGAGGGATTGTCGGACGACGAGGTCTGGCAGGGACGGTTTTTGTTCACAAGGTTTGTTACTCGCTTAATCTCCCTAAGCGCATGTTTTGAACCAGGGTTTCCTTTCCAACGTCTTTGTCCATTCAGTGTCTCTGTCCGTACAGCGCCTGTAATCTGAACTGCTCATCTAGTAAATCGCTCGACATTTTTCTTGTCGATCTCCAGGTGACCACAATCTGGGCCTGGTGTATCCTTTGGCAGTCTAGTAGGGCTTCTTTTGTCAAAGCATACTCAGACAAGGACTTTGCGGGATATATCTGACCTCAATTACATGCACTACTGATGTATCGAACTCCAATCCCATCCAGAAGTGATTCTAAAATGTCCTAGAGTCAGTATGCCCACACTGTCAGCGGCATGCAACACGAGAATTGTCACTGCCTGTGGGCTGCCCTCATTATCACCGAGGTCGGAGTTTGTCCATTGAGATGATAATAGTCATCAGGGTTATATCACCAACAACGTGTGCTATACCCTACGGACCGCGCCACTTAGGTGACACCTTCTTTGGCTCCAAACTCTCCCATGCTTACCCATATCAGATCTCCCTCCTTGAAGATGAAGGGATGGTCGTTTTCTTTGGCTTGATCAGCCATTGCCTGCTGCACTGTTTGCGTACTCCTGATAGCTTGTTGGAGTTCTTCAGCAACCCTGTCATTTACGAGGGTACTTAGCTACCGATCTGGGACCAGAAAGTTCACAGGCATACGAGGCTTGCAGCCCTAGTGCAGCTGAGCAGGTGTACAAAGTATTCCAGGGTTCACAGAACCATTGTCAACACCTGCTAATGGGCACGTGTAGGTTCCAATCAATCTGATCGGGCTGTATCAGATGTTGCAGGACCTTTTCTACGGTCTGGTTCATTCTTTCTGTCTGGCCCTCAATCCATGAATCGTGCCCTGAACTTATATCAAGTTTGGTGCTGGCTAGCTCCATCCGAATTCTCTCTGTCACTGAGCATGTTTGAGGGAAACTCAAAGTCCCAGGCTCATTCATCAGCGAAGAGCTGAGTGATGTCCTTCGTGGTTAGAGTGTGACGAGGCTGAGGCAGAGCAGCGAGGTCGGGGAAGAGCACACACACACACTCACTCAAGTCGACACGGACTCGACACGACTCGACGGACGTAGACACAAAGTGGCAAAGTCGCAAAGTCGCAATCTTGATTCCGAACACAATGTCGCAACAAGTCACACTGAAGCACAAGCACTGAGGCCGAGAACTGAATCCCCCGAACTCAGCTTGAGTCCGGTCTTAAGTACCGTAGTCAAGTTGAGTCCGAGGGCAGAAGTGCAATTTGCCTCGGGGCTGAACTGAAAATCGAAGGTCTGAGCCTGGGCGCCAGAATGCCGGATGGCGCCAATTATCGAAACCCGATAGTGCCAGAGGCGGTATTTGAGAACGGGCGTCAACTGCAGAGGGCATCCACAGTCAGGAACCGGAGATCAGAGACTCCAAAAAAAATAGAATAGCAGCGTAGCGGGTGGTAACCCGCGGACCAGGGATCGAGCCCTGGCTGGGTCCGTAACATAGAGACTTCCTCGTAGGTATTAACCTCATGAACTTTATGAAGCCATTGATGAGATGAAGACTGTGTCATCCTTCTGCTTACTTTCACGAAACCTTCCATGAAGTCCATGAAGATAGACTTGGCTGACCTGCCAGGGTTCAAAATTTTCAGGAGGCCGTATGCTCTATGCCTACGCCGGATCCGGACCCGGACAGCTCATGTCCGGGGACCGGACGCATGTCCGGTCAGGTCCAGACGTCTGGACTTCCGGACACATCTGGGCCTCCGGACAGGCATGTTCTGGATGGTCCGGACCGGTAAGCAGGTCCGGAAATGTCCGGACCATTAAAAAAAAAAAAATCTGAAAAAAAATCATGTTATGCAGAATAACAATGCAAACCACTTTTGCCTCAGACTCTCAGAGTCATGTCAGAATTCCTAACCAAACTTGGTAGGACCCGGACCGGTCAGAGTTAAAAGCATGGTAACCGCGGACCCGGACACCGGACACTTCCGGACTGTTTCCCGGACCTGTGTCTGGACCAGTCCGGACTGTCCGGTGTTCCGGACATCACTGGACACTGGATGTCACCGGACACCGGACTGTCCGGACTGTGTTGGCAGGGACAAGATGTCCGGGGAAAAAAAAAAGAAAAAAAAAAAAAAGGTGGGGAGGGAGCTCACCTGGTTCGCACTTCGTGCCCCCTATTTCCCGAACATCAACAATCAATCAATCAGTCTCCATGAACATCCTATCCCCCATCTTTCCCTCTTTC